GCAGCCACACCCATACAATGGGCCACACCCACCTGGCACCCGACAATGCATAAGTGGGTTTTGGGTTACAGTTTGGGCACTCGGTCTCTAAAAGGTTCGCCATCACTGCCATAAGCCATCTCTTAAGGAGACAGCACTTAACCCAATAAATGCCAACCTTCTAACCTACAGAACTACATGGTCCAGAACAGGGGGGGGGTGACTCCCAAACTTTGATGCGTCAGTTCAGTGGCCGAAGAGGGTCACAGAGTTGATAGCCTTTCTCACTTCCCAGGTATTTCTTATGGCGGTTTGTGATGCTCTCCTCTCGCCTGGACTTCCGCAGTGACACCTACAGCTGGCCCTTCCTGGCTTACATGGCGCTGGTCTGCCTCTATCCCTTCGCCTCGAGCTGTGCTCACATCTTCAGCACCATGTCCACCCATGCGCGACACATCTGCTATTTCTTGGACTACAATGCCCTCAGCCTCTACAGTTTGGGTAAGGGGCTCGTAGTTTTTAAGGCTGATTTTCTTTCTGTCTTTCCTTCCTACAATTCCCTTAATTCTCAGCCAAACAAATGCCAAATTTGCTGGTTCATTCTGAAAGCTGCAGCCTCAAAGTTTCTCAGAAGGAAGAGAATGAACCAGAGTTTCTTCATTTTTCCCCTTGAAAATAAGTGGCCTTCAATTCCCAGAATCCCCCAGCCAGCATGCTTTAAGAGGGGTGGACTTCCACTCCCAGAATCCCCCAGCCAGCATGATTTAAGAGGGGGTGATTTCAACTCCCAGAATGCTGGCTGGGGAATTCTGGGAGTTGAAGTCCACTCAAATGGGGGGTTCTGGGAGCTGAAATCCACCCATCTTTGAGGGGCCAAGATTGAGAAGCTCTGCTATAGATGAAATGCACATTTACTGTATATACTCAATCACATCATCCTTAACTGCTCTGATTTTGCACTGCAACAATGAAATGCAGCGCACTCTTGAAGATGGGCTTGAGAACTCCGCAGGACAGAGAGAGACAATGGCGGGAGGTGTTGTACAATTCTGAGCCTTGGCAAAGAGGCTGGATCAGAATCAGACTAAGGGACCTTGTGGGTCATCTAGTCCAACCCCCTGTCCCAGCAGGAGACCCTACACCATTTCTGATAGATGGTAGAAAGTTTCCAGTGATGAATCTCCCACAACATCTGAAGGCAACTTCTGTTCCACTGGTTGATTGTTCTCACCGTGGGAAAATTTCTCCTTATTTCCAGGCTGAATCTCTCCTTGATCAGTTTCCATCCATTATTCTTTGTCTGGCTTTCAGGTGCTTTGGAAAGTAGGAAAATAGGATCAGAACACACAGAGACACACACACACACACAGACACGTTTCTCCTAACTTGTCCTTGTTTTGTGTTTCAGGCTGTGCATTCACATATGGCGCCTACGCGATGCCGGATCGTTGGGTCAACAGCCTGGGGCACCACTGGTTTGTCCCCATGGCTGCTATAAATTCCTT